ATTTTGCAAGGAAAAAGAGAGAAAATTATACCTGGGACTCCCATAGATTACGCTAACCTCTACATGAAGTGTTGGGAGTCTGAACCTGAAAAACGTCCGACGCTGCATGAAATTTTAACCGAACTTGAAAGGTTATCTAAAGAGATAGAAATTTTGTCGGTCATTAATCATTCAGTTTAACATTTACCAAATGGTTTATTTAATACTATATGTGATTATAATATAGATTTACCCGAGAAAAAATTTGTGTACATCTTTTTTTTTAACTTGAAAATAAATTTAGCTATAAATAAAATTTAAATGGTGATAGATTTAGTATCAGATTGAAAATATTATAAACTATTAGATTTATATAACGGAAACGGACTTGGTAGATTAATTTTTTAACGGATTTGACAGGTTATCGATTTTGACAGGGTCAGTTTTGGGAGGTTCAACAGTATACAAGATAAGAATTTTGAACTCTGTACAATTTTGTTCTTAGATCATTAAAAATAGCAACCTAATTGTCTGTTTTTCAATAATTTTATATATAGATATAAATATATATAGAATTATTAGTGACCTTTTAACTTTTTATTTTCAGCTTTTCAAATACTGTAATTGCATCTAATAATAAAATTGATACTGTACATACTGTACTTAATGTGTTCATTGCTTTTTAAAATCATGAAAAAAAATCATACATATAGTTCTTTGAATTCAACTACAAACTAAATAAAGGTTATCAAGAAACAAAAGGGAATGTACTTTGTTGAAATAAATATCCCTATGGGAACGTACTTTTTGGAAATAAAGAACACAATTTGTATAGAATAACTTTATATACAGTCAGACCTCTCTAAATGCACGTCGTCGAGACCAGCTCTAGCACGTGCATTTAGAGAGGTTTTGCATTTAGGGAGGTAAAAATCTATAGATGTGATATTAATTGGGCCCAAAAGAAGACGTGCATTTAGAGAGGTGCTGCATTTAGGGAGGGTGCATTTAGGGGGTCTGACTGTATATCCTTAAAAGATGGTGATTTCGTTTCACTCTATTAAAGTTTATATAATTTTATTATATATAGAGTTTATTGTTCTTTGAAAATTTGGAATTTTTAATTCTTACAAATTACTTTAGCTGATTAATGCACTAAATAATTTAACTATCATAGGACAAAAAAAAAGCAGTTTATACCTAACTAGTTTTACTGTGCAGTCTCGTGATAATCTGATATGTAGATTACAATCAATGATATAAAATTTGATCTAATCTTGAGCGTTGGTTTGAAACTTACGAAATCACGATTTTTTCAAAGAGAAATAATCATAATTTTTCTTTTAATTATTCGAATCGAATTATTCAAAGAATTTATTTGGTCATTGTAATATGAATCTGGCTACGTCTAAATGTTTTAAAATGCATTTATCTTCAGATAATTACTTAAGATGTATTTAAATTCACAAGTTCGGTTTTTTAGATATAAAAACATCTTTAATTCAATACCTAGTTCAAAATCTTTAAATAGTTATCACTTCTTAGATTAATATAAAGCTGTTCCTCATTTTTATGTATACGCGGTTTTTAGGAATTTACTAAATCGATTGTTTTTTTTTTAACTCGTTCTTTATATTTTAATATTTGACTTTTACAATAAAAAAAGTTACGAACTTTAATATGATAGAATTTTTTTTTTTTTTTTGTCCTCAAGGTTCTTTTATTATTTCTTAAAAATTTTTAAACTCAAATCATAGTTTTCTTTTGCTATTATACAAAAATTCAAACAGCAATGACGTCAGAGTGATCCCGACGCGCATAAGAGTATAAAATAGGACGGTCGTGTCTTTCTGTCTGTCCTTCAAGCCAAAGCAACATCGACTACACTAATATGTTCAAAAGCGACGACCAGAATTCATTAATAACTCAAGTGCTATGCTCATTGCTAGAAAACATGTCCTCCGAGCACTAAACAAGTCCAAAATCATATGATAATTGCACTCAATGGTCGATATGTCTAAAAATCTCCCGATGGCAGAATTCCTGCGAGAACACCTAATGCATTTATCCCTGCGAATAGCTAAAGAAGCTTTAGGGTTTCATAACGAAATGTACCTAGATATGGGAGAAGGAAAAGAAACAGAAGAAGAAAGAGAAGAAAACAAGCCAAATCAACCTGTTATCCAAGAAACCTTTACGTTGAAAAAAATATGTAAGCTTTTGTGCTATAATTTATACATTCACATAGAGCGGTAACATCATGAATTTTACTGTATATAATAAATATATTAGAATATTGAAAAAAGTTGAAAGAGCTTAATGTAAAAATGTTCAATTTCTTATTGGAAGCGGAGAATACACAAATGTATATTCTGCTAAGTTCAATGGGCAACTATACGCACTGAAGAGTCTGAGAGATTAGAACATAAAGAAGCTATGTCATTCATTCATAATTTTAATTAACATTTTATGGTAAAAAAGAATATTGACAATTTACATGATGTATTTCGTGACTAAATCCTCCTCCGTAAATTCATGTCAAGATCGCATCCTATTTTTATATAAATAAATTTTTGCATCTTTATGTTTGATTTGTCACTTATCATGCACAATATAGGTTAGCGTATATGTGTCGACGGATCTAGATTCTTTTTAAGCACATTATCACCTGAAAAATCGTCATAATATAAAAGTGATCGTTATTTTTTATTTTATTTTATAATATATATATGTGTAGCTTAAAATTTAACAAGTTAGTCATCCCAATATTATTAAATTTTACGGTGTTTCTAAAAGTCTAATCTAAAACTAAATAACGTTAAAGAATAACATATGATTTGACGAACTTTAGATCCACAAACAAATAATTTTATGCTTATATTATATTTGAATTATTTACAATCAAAATGGAAGGAGGGTAAATTTAAGATTTCTTGGACTAGTCTTATTAACATCGCAATTGAAATTACCTGCGGGTTAAGCTTCTTACACGAAAAAAAAGTATGCCATAGAGATTTGGTGCGTAGTTTGCCTATGTAAAAAATTACAAGTCATTTATTTTAATATACCAAGCTATTTAAAAAAACCTTAATTTTCTAGCATTCTAACAATATTCTAATAAATAATGGTAAAGTTTTGATTACCGGTTTTGGTATATCAAAAAAAAAAAAATGGACAGTACAACACCGACTTCGTGTTTAAAAGGCTCACCAGCATACATTGAGCCAAGATATTTTCTATATCCTGAAGAAAAAATTAAACGTGATGGAAAGTTGGACATTTATAGTTTAGGTGTAGTGTTCTGGGAGCTTACGAGCGGAACTCCACCATTTTCGGATTCACAAAAGCATGCTATAATAATAAAAATTTCACAAGGAAAAAGGGAGAAAATGATACCTGGAACTCCTATAGATTATGTTAAACTCTACATGAGATGTTGGGCGACGCTAGATGAAATTTTAACCGAACTTGAAAGGTTATCTAAAGAGATAAAGACTCTGTCAGTTATAAATATTAAATAATACCAATTAATATTTATCATGTAAATAAGCGATACCACATGTTTTACAATCCACCTAGTTAACTCCACCAAATCAGGTACGGAGCTTTAATTCATTCAACGATAATAAGTATGATTAGTTCCTGCATAATAGTAAAAGAAAACTACGATTTGAGTGCTCATTATATTTTTAAAAATTGAGGAACAACTTTATATTAATCTAAGAAGTGATAACTATCTAAAGATTTTGAACTAAATATTGAATTAAAGTTATTTTTATATTTAAAAAACCGAACTTGAATGTAAACACATCTCAGGTAATTGGATCTGAAGATAAATGCATTTTAAAATATTTATTACATTTAGACGTAACCAGATTCATATTACAATGATCAAATAAATTCCTTGAATAATTCGATTCGAATAAACAAAGAAAATGTAAATCAAATCAACGCTCAAGATTAGATCAAATTTTAAGCAGCGATACTAGGTGAGTTCGTGTTTATATCATATTTGATTGTAATTTACATATCAGATTATCATGAGACTACACAGTAAAACTAGTTAGGTACAAATTGCTTTTTTTTTTGTCTTATGATAATTAAATTATTTAGTGCATTTAATTTGTACGAATTATAAATTCTAAATTACAAAATAATTTTATAAACTCTATACAGTATTTAATAATAAAATTATATAAACTTTAATACAGTAAAATGAAATCACTATCTTTTAAGGATATATATAAAGTTATTCCTACACAAATCGTGTTCTTTATTTTCAAAAAGTACGCTCCCATCGGCTATTTATTTCAACAAAGTACATCCCCTTTGTTTCTTGATAACTTTTAGTCTGTAGTTGAATTCAAAGAACTATACATATGATTTTTTTACATGATTTTAAAAAGCAATGAACACATTAAGTACAGTATGTACGGTATCAATTTTATTTATTAGATACAATTACAGTATTTGAAAATCTGAAAAACAAAAAAAGTTAAAAGGTCAATAGTAATTCTATAGATATAAAAATTATTGAAAACCAGACAATTTAGCAAATAGGTTGCTATTTTTAATGATCTAAGAACAAAATTAGATAAAAACTGTACAGAAGTCAAAATTGTTCTTTTGTATACTGTTGAACCTCCCCAAAACTGATCGGTATTACAATAACATGTATAGTATAGTTGGTTAAAGGTGTATAGTATATAGTATACTACAAATAAGTATAATACATTATACATCTTGTAATAAAATAAATAAAAAAATTATACGTTTAGTATAAAGTAGAATAAAAAATTTATACAATTTAGTATTGAGTATATTAAAAAATTTATACATATATACAGTATATCTAAAAATAAAAAATTGCGTATTTAGTTGAATTGGCCTTTAATATCCAAAGAAGTACGCGCATATGAATTTGATGTCTCATGTGACCTTTAGAACATGTGTCAGAATAGATAATCATAAGTTGGAACTGAGTTAATAGTGTAATTAATTAAGGATATTAGTAATTCGGAAGTGTGAGTGTGATAATTGATTATAATATACATAAAAGAGGTTAGTAAAATATGAATACGTATATGGAAAATAAGTAAAAAGATATTGATTATCTAAATGAATAAATAATAAAATAGTCTTTTGTTGACATATTGTCATCATGAATAAATACTTAAAATTTAGTAAATTACATTATTTAA